TTGTTTTTAGATTCCGTATGTAAATGAGATTGTGCAGTATTTTTTTTCTGTGTGTCACTTATTGCACTTAGCATAATGTTTTCCGGGCTGATGTGTATTATCTTAAACCACCATACCTTCTTTCTTTCTTTTTTTTTTTTGGTGGGACTGGGATTCGAACTCAGGGCTTCACACTTGCAAAGCAGGTGCTCTACCTCCAGCCCAGTGTCTCCTTTTCCACACATTCCATTGTGTGGTATATGTGTTAGATACCACAATTCTTTACGCATTCATTTCTTGGCGGACACTGAGGTTGTGTTTATCTCTTGGCTATTATGACTAATGCTGCAATGAACACTTGAATGCACTTATCTCTACAAGATGCGGACTTTATTTCTGTTGAGAATGTACCCAACAGAGGGATTGCTGGGTCATATCATAATCCTACTGAGGAAGCTCAATAGTGGCTGTATGAATTTACTTTCCCACCACTAGGATCCCAGGTTCTTTTCTCCTGCACCCTCCCCAACACTTGCTATCCTTTGGCTTTTTGAGAGGAGTCATCTTAACAGGTGTGAGATGAGAGGTCATTGTAGTCCGATTTTACATTTCCTTGAGGATTAGTGAGTATGCAAGTTGTGTTTTAGCAAACCTTCCAATTTGGAGTCTAAAGCATATTAAAGTTGGTGAATCACTGCTTTAGAGAGACTGTTTAAACCACACAAATTTCAAGTAACATCATTGGCAAGTCTAAACCTCAGTTAGTTCCTACCCACTCAGTGTGGCAGAGGATGATAAAGAAAATGATGCCCATTAGGCAAACAGATACTACATTTTCTTTACAAGTCTCAATAGCATGCATGTTATGCTTGATACAGAGCCCAGACTTAGGAAGGAGCCTGAGGCTCAGACCCAAATCCAAGTGGACCCTTCCAGCATGGTACTTCCAGTTTCCTCAGATACCCAAGAAGCATCATGTCTTAAGCCTTTCCCCACTTTCCTTAGAAATAGCACCACCAAATGCCTAGTCAGCTAAGCCAGAAACCTGGAGGCTGCCTGGCCTTCTCTCTCCCTCACCCTGCACATCTATGGGTTTCTGGAGTTCTCCCAATAACAGTCTTCGGCCAGTCCTTATCATGTCTCCCAAATGGCCTCTCTGCCTCTAGCCTCACCCCACTATCTTTCCATTCGCCCACCCAGATATGCAGTGACCATTCTTATAGGCGAACATGTTTGTGCCACTCCCTGTGAAGGCTCACTTGATAGCTGTTCATCTCTTTCAGTAACTACCTGTGATAGAAATCTGGTTATTCTTGTTTAACCAAACATTCTTGTTGTATTTTTGCCATTGGTAATTTCTTACATATCTTATGGTAATGTAATGTGCATATACGTAATAAATACACATAATTTTAAACTTTGAATGAAGTGAGGGTAGGCTCAGTGTTTCCCTGTTGATTCTTAACATGGAACCAGGGCAGACAATCACTCCATCTAGCCCAGGTGCTTTTAAGTTTTAGTAGTGGTCTAAAGAGAATGACCCAAGATGATACAGTGGGCTTTGGGTGGATCAGAAACCAGGCTGGAACTGTTAAGCAGATGGCACATGACATGTGTCATTGGCAAGAAGCTTAGATACACAGCCAACTCACAATGAGACTGTTTATTCCTGCTAGTGGTCTAAATTAATTTTTATATATCTTCCTGTCCAGTTTTTAAAAATGCCTTACAATCATACAGTTTTTACTTATTGTTAAAACGTTTGGTCATATTTACTTACAGTAAATGCTTGCAGGTAGGACTAATTAATGCCACTTTTAACTCTAATTTGCTCGCTTACTAATTTGTTATTAGTGTATTTGTTTTCTTAGCATTAAATGACAATTATGTCTTTGTACTTTGCTTCTTTGGGGTTTCAGCTAGTTCTGACATTCTTCTACAATTCCTATGAAAACTAGGATGTTTTGGGGATCAGGAGACTATCCCTTTGCAATGTGAGATGTGCATACTTACTGAAAATGATGACAGTGTGAAAGGGAAATGCTTTGGATCACAGATGCAGTTTAGTGAATGAGAAAGGTGAGATAAAAGGGAAAAGAAAGGAAGAGAAAAAGAATGGAAAGGTAACACTGAATTTCCGATCTACCTTTTGTTTACCTCTTAACCACAGAGGTCCCCAAACACAGTGCGTCACTCTCAGGACACATTCAAAACTGCTTAGTCACTGGCACAAGCTGCAATCTGATCCCGGGCACCTGTACCTCCTCACTGCTCCCACAAGTCAGTCTCAGGGTGGCACATGCCACATTCTGCCTGTCACATGCAAGCCACATTCTGGGGCACAGGATCACTCAAGCTACTTTAGGAGTCTCTTGACTTTTGGAGAAAGTGAGTCTTAGGAAGTGACTTGGTGCAATAGTGAACTTTTCAAAATTACATATGTGAGTCCTCCAGGCACTACCACCACCCTGAATTTTAGGACTAGGATTAGGAGGCAGGAGCACTCCAAAGCCATAATAGGTTCATGGAATGTCAAGGTTGGAGCAGATAGACCTGCTGTAACATTTGCAGGACAGAGACAAGAAATGGAGGCATATGCAAAATAGTTAGATGTCGTAAGTCAAAATAATGCAGGCTAAATTACATCCTATCTTCTTGCCTTAACAAATATACCTTTATAAGAATCTGGAAAGCAAGTTCAAATTTGGGGTGCTTGGACTTTGGGTTCTAGGTAGGAAAGAAGTAGTGCAGAGATGGCTGCTGGTTCCTGGTCTTTCTTCCTTTCCCCCCTCCCCGACTCCTTGTCATGCTGTGGTTCAGCCTAGCTGTGTACCCGTAGTGGCACAGTCCCTCTTTGGCCTGTTCAAGTACTGGAAACTAAGTCAGGACTATTCAGGCCAGGAATGCCAAGGTCATGGGTATTTAATCCAATGTCATAACAACAAGTCGGTTTTTCAGGCTGAGCGGTATAGTCATAAATGTGCGTTAGAGCTATTTTCGCCTTAAGCTTATGTGATAGGCCCTGGGTTCGATTCTCAGCACCTCCATGCAAAAAAAACCCAAAAAAACAAAAAAAAAAAACCCAGTGGTTCTGAAGGTGGGGTGATTTGGCAATGTCTGCAGACTTTTTTGGTTGTCTCAGTCCGGGGACAAAGGGAAGGGTAGTATTTGGTTTTTTTTTCTCTTCTTTTTTTTCTCTGTTCCCCCCCCTCCCCCAGGATGGTATTTGTATCTATTGAATAGAGGCCAGGGATGCAACCGAACATTCTACAATGCATAGGTTAGCCTCCACAAAGAATCATCTCCCCCAAAATACCAATAGTGCAAAATTAGATAACTTGCCTTAGGAGGACTGTTAAATATCTCAGAGTTAAAATTCCTTAACCCTATTCTAGAAGGAGTGTTGAGCTTCTGAATGGGAGCAACTTGGCTTTCCAGACAGTTGGGCGAATTGCCTGAGGAGGCAGGGCAGGTGCCTCCAAAATGTGGGTCCCTGGCCAGGCACCCCCTTGTGCAGGTGTGAGGGTGGCACTAAGAAGGAAGCTCAGAATTTCTCCAATCATGCAGGACACAAAGCCCTTCCCTGAGCTGCACCAGGGGCTGTCCAGGCTCCATTTGTACATCTCAAAAGTTGTCCGAAGGCAGCTCTTTGTATCTCCGTGGGCTGCTTTCTTGGCAAGTTGACAATGAACTGAAATGTGCCGCTCTAACTTCCTGAAACCCAAAGAAACTTTGGCCTTGGGCAAAGGCTCTTTGGCCAGCATTTGAGTTTATGTAAGATCTAGCATGTACAAGTTATCTAGAGAATGCTAATAAGTATGACAAGCAAAATTACAAATATGTACACCTTCTATAGAATGATAGAAATACAAATTGTGTATCTTTGGTGGAGGATGCATTACAGTCCACGGGTATAAACAAATAAACGTGTATCCAAGTTGGAGATGACAGTACACACTTATAATGCCAGCTACTTGGGAGGCAGAAGTAGGAAGATCAGGGTTCAAGACTGACCTGGGGAAAAATCCAAGACCCTCTCTGAAAAGCAAACTAAAAGTCCCTGTGCAGGGACACCCTGGGAGATGCAGAGCGAACATCTCTCTCCCTTTTTCCTTTTTTTTTTTTTTTTTTAATTCTCCCAACTAAAGTGTGTGGTGGAGGTGGGGATTCTAATACGAAGAAAATTTAAGCCATACTGTTCATTTTAGAAATAATTCTAAAAGAACATTGGTGGAAGTTTATTTCACACTACTGAGAGGTAACTACGGTCTCTTAAATATCTTTCTAGACATTTCTGAGCACACAAGTAAACATGTTGACCCTTAAAAAACCCCCCACAAAAGTAGCTTGTACTGTTTGCTCATTTCATGCGTTGGAAACATTTTCCTTGAAAGATTAATTTTTCTCCCTCCTGCGTGGAGATCATGATCCAAGTGACTCCGACAAAACCACAGGAGTCCCCACTGTGGGGTCTTTGGGCTGTGGCCTTGACGAACAGGAAGAACACAGAATTCTGCTAAACAAATAAGTGACATTATGGGCCAAGGACTAAAACATCTGCAGAGAGAAAAGAAGAATCCAGGGACTGAGAAGCAGCGACTTCAGACATCACCAACGAAACAAAAACTGAGAGAGCTACCAAGAGTGTCTGTCCTGGTGCGTCCCAATTTCTAAACAGCCAATGAGACGCTCAGACATTTCTGGACGGTTCCTTCCGACCGCCAAGCGTACCACGTGCGCCGCATTCTCTCAATTTCCGCAGTGACGCGCGGAGACAGCTTTGGGAGAGCAAGGCTACTTACCGGGTTTCACCTTTCTCCATCTTTCATAACCGCGGGGCGGAGGGATTCAGGCGCAGAGGGCAGGTCCCCACGCGGCGCTAGGCCCCGCCCCCTGGCAGTCCCGTCCACTCACGTCCTGAGGATGCGGTGGTGCTGATTGGTTCAGAGCCACGGTGGGCGGGGCGCGGGGATCCGGCTTATAAAAGAGCCGCGGCACCGCAGTCTTACTTTGCGCCGGCGTGTCCTGCGGGCTTCTCCGTTACTTCTGTTCTCAGATCCGCCCCGGCCGGCGCGCGTCCCCGACGAATCATGGCGACGAAGGCCGTGTGCGTGCTGAAGGGCGACGGCTCGGTGCAGGGCACCGTCCACTTCGAGCAGAAGGCAAGGCCCGGGGCGGAGGCCTGCGGCGAGGCTGCGCCCGCCGGCCGCACACCTGTGCGGGAAGCTGGCTGCGTGGGTTCCCGGGCAGCTCTCGCCACGCCCCCGCCGCGCGGCCGGTGGGTCCGCGCCGCCCCGGGCCTCGGCGCCCGCTATAAATGCTGAGTCACCGGGCGGGCCCGGCGGCGGCGTGGGGCCGAATCGCCGCGGACCGGGGCTGGGCCTGGGCGGGGGAGCCCCGCGGCTGCAGAAGGCGGGGCGCGAGGGAGGCGGGCTGCACGCAGGCCTCGGGCGGGCCGCGGGGTCCCCACGCCCGGTGGGAACCGGACGCCGTGGGAGCGGCGATGGCCTTTCCGTGCGGGATCGTGGCCCAGTGGCGGGTGGCGGTATCGTGGCGTATCGTTTGGGGCCAGCGAACTGTGGCCCGCGGCCGTTTGTGTACAGCTCGGCAGCTCAGTGTTCATCCTGTGGTTTATAATGGCTGTGAAAAACAAGACTACGCAACAGAGCGTCGATGGCACTTGCGTGAAAATGTGGGCAGGCCCCCTGTTCTAGGTCACGGTCAGGCTGCAAAGGGCCGAGGAGATGGCCTTGAACTGTAGTTCTTTTTCCTCCAAACCGCCCAAAGGCCCTCTGACCACTGGGACTTTACATGGCAGCGATGAAATTCAGGATGCACAGTAAACTTATTTGGGGGCCATTTAGAAAATACAGATAATAAAGCGCCCAACGCCTCCTCGGTTATATCAAAATCCCTCCTTATCTAGTCTGAGCAATACCAGTTTTTTTTTTTACTCCTAGGCTTGAGAACTGTTTGAGGACAGTGGACTTCCCATTGCATAGAGATAGCACTTACTAACTCTTGGAGCATTCCTTCAACCAACTGACATTAAAATTGCACGACCAGTAGGAAGGTTGCTGAGTCTGTCAGTGGCTTATTATGGTGCTGGGGATGGGACTCAGGGCCTTATGCAGGTATTCTGCTGTTACTGCCCCAGCCCACAAAGATAAGCTTCTAAACAGATTTGTAAACTATATAGAAATGCTTTCAGAAATAGTCATTGTCCGTAATGTAGCAAACGTGTTGCAAAGAAAGTATTCGTGATAAGCCTGTCGCCAAAACGTTAGCAGCATTTTCTTGAACTTGGTTGAATAATAATGAGAGAATGTGAGTTTAGTTGTTAAAGCGGTTTACAAGACGTGAGGGGCAGGACAGCAGGGGGCCAGTGAAACTTACAAGAGGGAGGATGGATACTGGGTTTACTTTTTCTTTAATTGATCAATTTTCATGAAATCTTTGACATCTGACTGCATTTTGCTGGGATTCACTTGTTGGACACCGTTTTTCCCCTTTTCTCCTCCCCACATAATTCATCACTGGCAGAGAAGTTTAGGAAGCCTCTGAGGGATTCCCTGCCTCTCTGGCCATTGAGAAAGGTGAAGACCAGCTATTACCTCACCTGAGCCCAGGTTTCTGCAGGGGCAGCTTGGGCAGTTCTTTATTTAAGCTCAGAACTTCACATTGGTAGTGCCCTGTGGACCTGATAAGATCCTTGCATAGTACAGATGGGCACAAACAAAACATTGCCTATAAACTCTATGGTTTTGCCTGCCTTTCAGTGTGGGTTAAAATTTTTCACCTTTTAAGTCCAGCTTCCTAGTTTTTCTTGAATTTGGAGATACGCTCCATTGAGTCTTCATTAGTTCAAGACAGCGCTGGGCAGGGGCTTCTCACACCAATTTCCTGGACAGTGAGTCTGGCTTCTGTAGGCCTGTCCCCTGCAGTGTGTTTTTGAAGAAGGGCTACGGCACCCCATTAAGTGGAGGTTTGAAAGAATGAATCCGCCCTTTTTGTTTCTCGTGCTCTTGATAGCAGTGTTGGAGGTGGGACAGGGTTCACATTGAAATTTTTTCCAGAGGTAAAGGTTGTACTTACAAGTTCACAGTATCCCCCAACAAGAAAAGGATGAAGGGGCAGCAGTTACCAGAGTCCTTCCCTTGACCTGTGGTGTTTTCTGAAGGAAAGTCAGATCTTAAGGCTACCTGCTGGAGGAAAGTTTTGTTGTATATGAGAGGATATTTAGTATGTGAATGAGATTTAGACTGGAAAGTGGCTTGCAGAAATGTGAGAGGACATGACAGTAATGTGTACAAGTGTCTGAAATTTGCATGGGGAGAGAGCTGGTGTTCAAGCAGAGTTTTGTACCTGTTGGCCCTGGTTACTTAAAAGCAAAGGCACCAGCATGTGTATTACTGGGATGCAGTTGCTTCATATATTTTCTCAGTAGCTAAGATCTCGTTGCAGCTGTGGTAGGAACTTAATTGTTTCTGGATGTAGCTGTGCAGCACCATTATCCACAAGCTGCCTGAACAGCCGATGATACTGTTTGGTTTTTTCCATGGCAGTGTTCTTACTCTCCTTTTTGTAGAGTGTGAAGTTGCCAAGATTTCAGTGCCCAAAATGGCTTCAAAATAATCCCCCCCCAAACCCCAAAAATCAGTACCTCTGTTTAGATCCAGAATCAGTCCACTCAGGGTGACGTGATAGGGTATAATTTCTGGCAAGTAGATAAAAATGTCTGTAATGGAAACTGAACTGAAAAATACCCACTGAGTGGGGAGAGAAGAAGAAGGGTTCCAGAGAACCAGGGGATACTTCTGAGTGCTTTTTTCTAAAAGGTGAGGGCAAAGGGCTAATGAATGCATGATGTGACATACTCTTTTTAGATTAAAAAGTTTGGTATGGGCCTGAGGGTGTAGCTCAGTGGTAGAATACTTGCCTTACCATGTGTGAGACTCCAGGTTTGATCCCTAGCACCACACAAAAAAGTTTGGTATGCATACTCACCATGTACAAATAGAACCTATTCAAAAGTATTTAGTAAATAAACAAGGACTTACTCATACTACATATTCATTGTAAGAATCAAACCCTACAGCTGGGCATGGTGGCTCATGCCTGGAATCCCAGCTACTTGGTAGGTGGATAGATAGGATCACTGGCCCCTGCTATAGAAAGACCCTATCAGAAAAATAACTAAAAGCCACATGGATTGGGGATGTGGCTCAAGTGGTGAGCTCTTGAAGAATCAGACCCTACAAAGTGCTGTGTATCTATCTCTCGGACATTTAGGTGGTCTCTACATTTGCTGCCTTGCTTGTTAGGTCCTTTTTGTATGCTGTTTAATCCCTGGGCCTGGCCGCAGGGCACCTGGGCAGCAAGTGTCAGGACAAGATTACTTCTCCTTTTTGACAGGAACACAGGCCTACCATTAATTAGAAAGTGGTGTGGCTGGAATTTGGACAAAGATTTTTTCGACTCAAGCTTGTTTTTACTTCACCAAGAGTGGTAAAAGGTAAGTCAGCCATTTTCTTTGTTCAGAAGTGTTTGCGCTCAAACTTAATGCACTTTTCTTTTGATAAAGGCAAATGGGCCAGTTGTGGTACGGGGACGCATTACGGGATTGACTGAAGGCCTGCATGGATTCCATGTCCATCAGTTTGGAGATAACACTCAAGGTGGGTGTTGTGCTGGTGTAGTGACGGCTTTTACCTGGCTAACCTAAGAAGGAGAAACAGGACTGAGCCCAAGGAATCCCTAACCACTAAAAAGGTGCATATGTGTGTTTTTAAAGGTCAAGTTAAAATGACCACTGATGTCCACCGTAAGGCCCTTACTTAAGGAATTTAGCCACACAGTCAGTCCTTGACTCCTGAAGTGTGGGGAGAAGTGGAAGGAGTTGATAGTTTTTGTTGTGATTATGGCTTAAGTTTTTTTAGAATTAAGCTCCTTATCTTGGGTAATGATCCCAGGTGTCTGTGAGTCGAGTGAGTACATCAGGCTTAGGCTCTCACTCGTGTGCATTACGCTGTACAAAAACAGCCCACACCCCGACATGAGGTCTGTAGTGGGACAGAAATTTGATACACTGAAGAGAACTTGTGAACTCTTGGTGCTTTGGAATGAGTTTCATTTTCTCAATTTGGGATTAGAAGCAAGTTAGCAAAAGTTCATGGGTTAAATTGCATTTAGTGATATGTTGCCATATTTGGTTAATATTTAGAACTTTTATGTTTAAGAGTTCTTATAAGAACTTGATTCATTTTGCTAGAACTGTGTGTGTGTGTGTGTGTGTGTGTGTGTGTGTGTGTGTGTGTGTGTGTGGTGCGGGGGGGTCGTTTGTTTTTTGGAGACAGAGTTTCTATTCATAGCTCTGGCTGGCCTCAGTTTTCCAGGTGCTGGAATTACAGGTGTACACCTTTAGAATTTGTGTTTAATGTACCATAATTTGGTTCTAGATAATTGATGACCAGGTTTGATCCACTTTAATAATTAAAATTCTTCAAGTAGCTTCTGCGTCTGGTTTGGGAAGTGAAGGCTCTGTAGCTTGTACTTGCTAAACTGCTTCCTGAAACCTGCCTGACTTTTTCCCTGTATAAGACTGTCCACAAGGAAACTTTGTATCGGCTACTGAATACTCGAAAGGACTTGTATTGTTGGGGTTGTGTGCTTTGTAAATGACATCCCTTGGCTGGCAGGAGTACCCACACTGGATGCAGTTGGAGTCCCCCCACACCCCCGCCCCTCCCAAGTTGTGCAAGGCAAACCTTGGCCCTTGGACACATGTGCTGTTTAATACTCTGTTGGCACCAAGTAAGGCCACAGACAGAGCTGCCATGGAACAGCACGGGGGAGGTAGGCTTTGCTTGTAGTTAAGGCACGCTACTGTCTTAAAAAGCAGGCTTGAAAAATCATGGGATTTTTAACTGTAGGAGAAGAGCTGTTGAAAATAAAACAGCTTAGTTTAAAATGAAGCCAGAGCTGGGTGTGGTGGTGCACATCTATAATTCCAGTGCCCATGGGGTGATGCAGGAGGATCTTGAGTTTGAGGCTAGCCTGGGCTACACAGAAAGACTGTCTCAAAAAAAAAAAACCCCAGAGAAAAATGTTAGCTTGACTAGAGTCAGCCAGTAGTTAGAACTTATCTATAAGGTGTTGCTTCCTGTTTTTATTATTCCAAAATCATGATTCAGATTAGGCTTTTAAGAAGTGATTGCTTTCTTTTTAGATTTTATTTTGGAATACATATTTGTTGGCTTTCTTCCTTCTGTGCTAGGGATTGAACCCAGGCCCTTGCACATTCTAGACAAGTTCTTTGCCACTGAGCTACATCCCAAGGCCACCCCTCCCCGCCCCCTCTTTTTTTAGACACGGTCTTGCTGTGTATCCCAGGCTGGACTTGAACTTGAGATTCTCCTACCTCATCCTCCCTAGTGCTAGGATCATAGACCTGTCACCATGCTCAGCTCTGGAGTTCTGATTCATAATTTAGTTGCTTTTTTTTGGTTTTTTGGTTAATAGGCTGTACCAGTGCAGGTCCTCACTTTAATCCTCTATCCAAAAAACATGGTGGGCCACTGGATCAGGAGAGGTAAGCAACAAGATACTTACCCCTAAACAGTAGTAGTGACGGCTTTGCAGGGTGCTCTCTTCATCTCTTCTTTTGAATCTGTTGTCTGCCACACAACTCCCCCATCCTCAAGGGCTGGAATGGCTTACTCTGGGCAAAGGAGTTGACAAATGGGGACACAAAACAATTTGGTTTGTAGCATTTATTGAATATAGAACTAATACAAGTGTCAAAGGGAACCAATACAGGAAATGTCATAAATAACAGTACTGTCAATCACTAGCAAAATAAATCAATGTGAAGCAGGAAATTTCTGTAACTAAAAACTTGATATTGAACTGGGCACTGGTGGCTCACACCTGTTCTAGCTATTCAGGAGGATCTCGGTTCAAAGCCAGCCCGGGCAAATAGTTCACGAGACCCTATCTCGAAAAAATCCATCACAAAAATAGGACTGGTGGAGTGACTCAAGGTGAAGGCCCTGAGTTCAAACCCCAGTACCGCAAAAAGAACAATACTGAAAACTAGTTGAGACTCCATTTGTATGTGTAATGCTTTCTGAAAGCCTTTCAGGAAAATATTAAAGACAAGAATAATTTTTATGATGAAGCCTGAAGGCATAGCGTTCTAAACTGTGCTAGCAGTAGGCATGATTCAGTAGCTGAGAGTTCTCCCTTTGGTATTTAACCTCTGAGGTGAGAGGTGTGCCCCCATCCCATGACTTTGTAGAACATTACTTTGTAGACCTGCAGGCCTGATTGAAGAGCTAAGTATCTAGAGTGTCTAGCTACTTGTTTTTAAGTTTGTTTCCAAAATTTTGTTAATCTGGAAAAATGGTCTTACTTGACATATACTGTATATACCTCTGAGTCTACTCTTATGTTTTTGATTCAGTGAAATTTTAATTTAGCTGCTGAACTCTTGACATGAAGTAGAAATAAGTGCTGTTGATCTGATGGCTTTTTCAATGTTAGGCATGTTGGAGACCTGGGCAATGTGACTGCTAACAAAGATGGCGTGGCTGATGTGTCCATTGAAGATTCTCTGATCTCACTCTCAGGAGAGCATTCCATCATTGGCCGTACAATGGTGGTAAGTTTTCATAAAAAGCAAGATAGGCATAAGGTTTTCTAACATACGGTAATATATCAAGACCTCATGATGGTTAGTCCTGGCCTAAAGAGCCACATAAATTGTACCTTTAGTTCAGATGAAAAAATAATTACTTTATTGGATGATTATAGTGAAGATGAATTAATTTATCTAGGTCAGTTAAAAACACTGTTCTGCGAAGATGCAGTAAAGAACTGGTTACATTTGATCATGCTAGATCCAAATTGGGGGAAACAGCCAGGTTTTCTTGCCATGGTTAAACTGAAAATTTTCTTGAGTCTAAAATCTGGGATGGGCTTCAGTATTAATAATTCAAGCCTGTAGGTTATCATCACTTGGTTACCACATGGTAGCTGTCTTCCCAAGTTACCCTTGGGAGCGGCATCTGGTTCATGCAAAACACCCAAGTAATAAAGGCTCTTGCCCACCGCAGGCAGTTCCTTTCAGTATATCCTTAGAATTTTCTTTAGCCCTATTGATAAAGCAGAACAGTTACTTACAAACGTTCCCTGAGTAATCTTTAAAATACTGTTGATAGATCATTTAAGATATTTTAGGATTACCTCTTATTTGTAAGCCTATAGTTCACTGGGCATCATTCATGTTTTCATCGTCTTTTCACTTCTACTTTTTTCCTCCAAAGGAATTTATACCATAAGAATGAATTCTCTAAGCTTACTCTGAGGATTAAGATCAGCATGTAGTATTTCATTTAGAGATAGCAACACTTAACCTACTGTTTAAAGGTAACATGTCATTGCCACCAGCAAGAAAAAGTAGTTTCTACTTACTTACTAACTAGTATAAGTATTAACATATTTCTTTACTAATTGGGACTATTTTAACTTGGTATTTCCTAATATTAAGTGGTTGTTAAAGTCTTTGAGGTATTGTTGGGAAGAGGTTGTAATTCTTTGATGACCTAGTTAAATGTTCTTAATTTTTTTAAAGGTCCATGAAAAGGAGGATGACTTGGGCAAAGGTGGAAATGATGAAAGTACAAAGACAGGAAATGCTGGAAGTCGTTTGGCTTGTGGAGTAATTGGGATCACCCAGTAAACATTCCCTACCATGTGGTGTCTGAGTCATAGTAATTCATCTGTTATTCTGCTACTGTAGAAATTTCAACTTGATAAAACATTAAAACATGTTAATTCTTAAAAGTATAATTGTGTGACTCTTTTTAAGTTGCTTTAAGTACTTGTAATGATCACTTGGAAGAGTTGTATAGTTTTATAAAACTCATTCAATTAAAATGTCTATTTCAATGATCTCTGTATTTTGCCAGACTTAATCACATATGGGTATTAAACTGTCTGAATTCCTTTAATTTTCATTCCACCCATGAGTAAGCACCAGGTATGACACTTTATATTTGAACCTATTAAAAGTATCCAAACCAAAATTCTATATTGGCTGACATTCATTTATACACTGAGCTTCAGTAGAGAACATACTATTCCGTAGTGCATCATTTCAAAAGTATTTTAAGTGAGGCCATCGGATGCATGAATTTTTTAGCAGCTGGTGTTTTAGCAAGCCAAAAGTTGATATTAAACAAATAGGCTGTCCTTTGTCAGTGTTAGTGAGCTTAGTCACTTAAGCATTTTGATTCTAAAGAAAGCATTTTGGTAACTTTCAGTGAACTTTTGTAAAAGGCAAGTTACAGCCTCATCTAAAGTGAATCTACCCATCTGCCAGAAAGGCACACAGTACAGTTTTCAAAGTGGAAGTGATCAGGGCTGGTGGAGTGGCTCAAGTGTTAGAGTGCCTGACTAGCAAATGTGAGGCCCTGAGTTAAACCCCAGTACCACCAAAAAAAAAAAAAAAAGAATTAGAAATCAAAGTGGAAGTTGGCACAGTCTGTTTTCATATTGGCCTTCTGGAGAAATGCACTAGAAGCAGTGGAAGATGAAAGCAAGGACATTTTTGTTTCTGGGACACAGACCACTTGGTGAACCGAGTGTCTTTATGTAGCTGTGTGTGTATACACACCTGCAAGAGAATGCTTTTAAAAGATGTTAACTCAGATTTGTGACTATCTGGTTGCATTGCAATTTTTTATGCAGTTAAAATTGAATTGTATAAATTCTACTGAGAAACCCAGTAGGTAAGCTACAATCTTGTTGATTCATGAATACGTACTTTATCAAATTTAGATCATTTAGGAAACAGCTAAATTGGCAAAAACATTTCCAAAATTTTAAAATTGTACTAAAAGAATAGCTATTCGTAGTAAGTGGTTATAACCACTTAAAATTTTAAAACAGTATTTGACAGACTTTGACTAATGTAGTTTGTTGCATGTGTGGGATGGATGACCCAAATACAGGGGACTAACTTGTGAAGCCTCAAGTATAATCAATACCAGTTGGCACCTTTATTTTTTCATGTGTATATGGGGTGATCTCTGTACTTGGAGCTGAAAACACAAACTGGACACTGTAATCGTGTTTCTTTCCAAAAGCAGTTTCAGTAAGGGCTTTAAAACTTGTGAACTGGGCAAATATAAAAGTAAGATGTTTTCAAGTCTACAGAGATGATGGGGTGTTTTTCAAGGCAGGAACTCAAGAACTTACCACTATATACATTCTCTCCATTATAACAGACCTTGCTGAGTACTATTTAAAATCCAAAGTACTAACCAGTTTCACCTAGGGGTGGGGGCAAAGGGAAAGGACTGCTCAGCACACTGAATGTTATTTAAAAAAAGCTTCAACAAGGCTGGAAATACTTGGACTGTGTAACATCAGCTACTGGCACTGGGTAAGCACTTTTATGTAATAGCTTTTTTCAGACACAGGCTCCATTTAGTTTAGGATGTTTTCATGTACTTCTTGGATAACATGACTTTTCCTAGTTTAACCAATTTTAAGCAAAAGAGATAAAGTAGTTTGTGTGGCAAAAAGTTCGGTCTACCTCTGCCCAGCAGGGGAGTTAGTAACGGCAACAGGCAAGGCTTATACAGGAAATGTGAGGTTACATTTTAATATGTCCTTACATAAAAGGCAGAAAGCTTTTAGGTTGCAAATGTTAACCTTGTTCTGCTTTTACTCTTTTGAAAAATTTAATGGGATGATTAAAAACAACACTCTTCTAAATAAGTAATGCCCCAGCAACCAAATAACTTAAAAGATAAGGTATAATGTCAGGACTCCAATTTTCCCCCAGTAAAATCTCTCTACAAATTAAACAGGGCAACATTACCACAAAGCCAATGGAAAAAAAGAAAACCCTGACTGAAAAACACAAGCTTCTCAGTTAACATTAAGACACCTTAACCTTATGATCAAAAACTGTCAAAAGAATTCAAAATGAAAGTTTTAAGAGTAATTACATAAAGGTGTCTTTCCATCAAATAATCTAAGACTCCAAAACATTAACAGCTCAAATATGATGAACAATCTTTCCATCTTAATGCAGTACAGGAAGAATAGCACACATTAAAGTTTGTTACGAAAATAGAGTTTATTAAAAACATCCCTATTGTTTTGAGGAGCTTTCACCGTTACCTTGTCTTAAATTAAAAAAAAAAATAGCACTTCTAATTACGATTTGTAAACTTTTTAAAGTGAAAACTTTTAAAAAGTTACAGCGAAAGGGTAATTATTTATTCATATTTTCAGTATTTTTGTTATTTTGTGGCTATCTTTAAATAGAAGGGAAGCAATCAAATTGCTTACAATTCCCACCGACTACCTGCGGGGTTGATATAGCAGGAGCAAATATAATACAGCATCTGTACACCTCGAGCGCTACACTCCAGAAGTGTCACTGTCACATTTTGCCATATTCCAGTCTAGCGAGGAGCCTCTGCTGCTGAGCTAGAATCCTTTTCAGGTTCAACGGATGAGGTAGCCTCAGCAGGTGACTCTTCGGAGGGTTTTACCACTGTGGCTGAGCTGTGGCTGCGGCCTCTCCCTTGTCAGGTTCTGAAACAGTGTCTACGGTTCCCACTTGGCTAAGGGGAGGTTCAAGGGCTTTGTTACCACCTGCCCTGTCTGTGGCCTCAGGCTTTTCCTTTCCTCGGTTTTCTTCCTTCTCTCTACGAGACTCTCTATCTCTAGAATCTCTCTCTCTGTCTCGATGCCCACTAGAGCGTCTATTTCTCTCTTCCAAGTCTCTGTGCCTGTCGCGGTCAGGGCTCCTTCTTCCCCACTCTCTCCTTTCACGGTTACTATTATCTCTATCATCACGGTTCCCATACCGTTCCCGGTCATTTTCCACCCTATTTCCGAAAGATCTTCTTCCAAACCTTTCTTGGTCTCTACCTGAATTGAACTGCTGCCTGCTATCATTTCTAAACTGCTGTGGCGGCTGCTGAGCTGGTGGTGGCTGCTGAGCTGGTGGCGGCTGCTGTGGCTGTGGTGGAGGTGGCTGCTGCTGCTGCTGCGCTGCTGCTGCTGTGGTTGCTGCTGCCTTCCGTCTCTGTCTTCAGGACCCCCAGGGCCTGGGCCCGGGCCCCCAAGCCCTGGCATTCCTCCAGGCCTAACAAAGGGGCTGTGTGGTGGGAAAGGCCCTTTCATTCCATGAGGCGGAGGCATTGCAAAGCCCCCTGGTCCTGGTGGCGGACCTCTGTGCATCATGTGCGGTGGCATGGGGCGGGGTGGCATCAAAGGAAATCGTTGTAAATGAGGTGGAGGCATTCCTGGGGGGCGCTGCAGTGGAATTAGGCCAGGTCGGGCACCAAGAAGACCAGTGGATGGTGCCTGGAGCCCAATTACAGGGCCAGGTGCAACACCTTGAGTGCCTAAAAGACAGAAAAAAAGATGTAAATGTCACAAAAGATGGCATTCTATTTTTAGCTCTTTCTTGTGGAGTTTAAGGCAAAATGAAATTCAATCCAGAATCTTGAATTTCCTGCTCAATGCCAATCTGTGCCAACTGGTCACAAATCCAACATGAGGACCAGTAAAAGCCAAAGCAAGCAATGAAAGGCTGTAAGCACCTAACACAGAGAGAAGCAGAGTAAGCTGGAAAAGGTAATTGTAGTATACCATTTTTAAAGACTGTGTCAAAATCCCTCTCTGTAACCTTCATTAAAAGCTGCTTTACTATGTCAAATGCTTAAGGCATCTGAGAAACAACGTACTATGTCCTAATGAGTTACGGGTCCGCATTCAACTATTAGAGTCAACTGATGGATATTTCAGGGCAGTTCTCAATCTGATTCTAAGTCTTACATAGACTTACTACTAGGGAAAAAAAAAGGTCACTGACTTAAGAGGAAAAACCTCATATTATTAAAATGCTTCATAGGTTACTATGCAATATGCACTATTTAAATTCTGATGTTTACAAAAAACGATCCAGACACAAATGTAAAGTTTATTTAGTTTCTTTGTCAAAGCACAGCCAATGTGTACCTTGTGAGGCCAACACGACTGCTGAATAATGCTGGACGTTTGGCCATTCACTGAACTTCTACTCATTCTTCCAAAGGTGGCAGCGCATCAGGGGGTGCTAGGAACAAATAGTGACTCACTACTTTTGCTTCCCTTTTGTGTGAGGTTTGCTCATTCTGGTATCATACAAGTTTGACAGCACTTACAATCTTAGGGGCAAGAAGGATTTGCACTGGTTCTCTATTTATGTGACAGGCATTTAATCTCTACTTCTTAGCACATACAAATATCATAGGGCAAATACTATGACCAAAGGGCCAGGTGGTGAGAATGTGCTCTTTATCTGTGCACTGCAGAACAATCACTGAGCAAGGTATGGGTTATGACCATTAGCTGGCAGTGCCAAAAGCAATGCTTATGTGACAGTGATAGAAAAAGAACCCAGTACAGTAGTACTAAGTCATTTCGGCCTTTTAGGTTTACAACTTGGATCAGCTTCCATTTCTCCTGCATGTTTCTACATTTCTGTATAACACTAATTTGATAAATAATAATTTCCAATAACTTACCAGCCTTAACCACTAAAGTAAATCTAAAAATGTATGCATAGTATACCAATTTGTAATTTTCTTAAACATGAAGACTTACCAGCTTTGATATTTACTGAAAAGCCTTCTAACTGCCTGAAGAGAAACATATTCACTCAGGAGCAATGTTAGATACGAGTCTCAGTATTCTAGTTTATAAACTGGACATAGTAAA